TTCCGGTAGCTTTACTTTGCGGTCAATCACTACTGTGAAGATATCCTCCACAATCATGTCCAAAACTCGAAAATGGAAAGATGGCGTTAAGTTACAAAGAGCAGAAGGTGGGAACACTCACCACTGTTGTGTCACAAAAAATCTAATGATCAATTTTGACGTTTAAAGAGTTTAGATCGATCAGTTGTTTACATCACTCAACACAAGCAGAACTGCATCACTGCAGCAGAAGACACATTGTCCACATTCAGAAGCACATCTCTGTATAGTGACTGGTCTCATGATTTAAACAGGCAAATGTTCAGCATTCAAACTACAGGTGAAGAACAGTCAACCCAGATGTTTCCCCGTTATGTCGAGATCAGCTAGTCAAGTACACACCTACACAGCATGTTAACAAACTGTGAAAAAAGCCACACAAAAATGAATGATTGCTGGTAACGGTTTCTATACATTAGTATTTACGAAGGGTATGTTGTAACTTACCTTCAAAATTACAGCGGTCCCTCGCTATAACGCGGTTCACCTTTCACCTCGCTGTTTCACAGATTTTTTAGTGCAAGTTTGCATGCTTATTTTTTACATCACATTGTGTCCTGCGTCCTGATCGCTGCAGACGATCTCCTCCGTGACGTCTCTCCTGTACAGTACAGAATCGCTGCATCGATGCTAGCAGTGTGACTCTGAAGTGCAGTGCTGTATGTCCGCAATGTCCACGAAACGTGTTGTACCGTCAAAAAATTAAAAAAAATTGGCTACTTGATTTCACCTATCGCTGGTTATTTTTAGAACATAACACCCGCGATAAACGAGGGACCCCTGTATACAGATACTGAGAAATATAACATTTGAATATTTTCTCTTTTGCTCTGAGGCGCAGGGGAAAAATATCGACAAGTCGATGAACATCATTTACAGACATATTGGGTAAATGCCCGAGACATCTATAGAAATGTAAATCGCCGCTTGATTCATTCCTTTGCTTAACTTGTTTTGGACCGTAAACCAGGCGCGAATAGGACACCGGAAACAAAGCTCCCCACAGGAGTTTCCGCACCGGAAGTAGCATATGCTAACGTGCACATAGTCAATTCACATAAAAGGCTGCCCACATCATTTTACTCACAATCCCCAGTAAAAGCTTTAATCGGTGCTTCTGCTGTGATCCTACTCATGGCTATGGGGATAACACTATTAAGAAGTAAAACGTATTGAAACAGGTCTGCTTACCTAAGAGACCTGCAGCACAGAGCTAATGTCCATAGTTTACGAAATAGTTTTTATTAAATCAAATACATACCTCAAGTGGAAATATAACAACATTTTTAGACTATTGCTTCTATGTTTATAATGTTTACATGTTTTATAATTGTCTGTTTTGTTTTTTTAAGACCTTGAGCTGCAAGAATATGGGGAGAGCAGCAAGTTCCACAGAATGCCGTGCCTAGCACACACTCTCCAGCTCACAATCAAAGATGCCATGAAACACCCGACTGCTGATTCAGTCATAACTAAAGCAAGAAAACTGGTACATGCTGTAAGAAAATCATCAGTGGCAAATGAAGAAATGATCAAAAGGTGTGGCAAAACTCTGATCCGGGATTGTACCACTCGTTGGAACAGTACTTTTGACATGTTGAGGCAACTGCTAGAAACCAGAGCTGAACTAAACCAACTGCTTGAGCAGCTGGAGATGGATACTTCTCACAAGTGATTGGGCCAAGCTGGAGAACCTTGTCAAGCTGTTTGAACCCTTTGCCATTCATACAGACCAGCTTCAGAGTGACAGCCAGTCACTCTCACAAGTAGTGCCATGTCTGCTCAACCTTGAGGCACATCTGCTGACGAGTCCTTTTAGGAATCCTTTAGCTCAAGTGCTTCTGAAGTCTTTAATTAAGGGAACGGTTTGCTGGTATTCTTAATCCTGATTCCACACAGTTTGATGCTACACCAGCAGGAGCCTGCCTGCTGGATCCAAATGTTTCACTGATTCTTCAGTCACCAGATACAGCATCGCTGCATTTCTGGAAAGCAAGACAGGATGTCTATCCAAGACTTGCCCCAGTAGCTTTAGATCTTGTTAGTGCCCCTGCTTCACAAGCATTTGTGGAACGCATCTTTTCTGTGTGTGGACTCCTGTCATTTGGGCTGAGAAACTGAACAACCACATCTCTGGAGCAGCGAGTTTTCCTTTAGATCAACACTTGCAGTTCAGTTCAGTGCTTTTTTTTAATTTTTTTTTTTTTTTTATGTTTTACTATTGTATAACTAAACACTTAAAATTTACTCATGATGGCTTGGCTTTTGTGTTGTGTTATTGTATTGCTAGTCAGTTGCAGTGTTTTATCACAGCTGTAATGCCAGCATTGAATGTTGGGCTTCCTAATGTTTAAATTAAATTACATCCAAGTTACTTTAGAGTTGGCTAAGCTCTGTTTATCTACACTACCTGCTTTTCAGATGCTGTTGTAAATGTGTCTACTAAATATTAAAGCCATATATCATTTATAGTTGCCTGGTGGGAATGTGGGTTGTCTGTCTCTATGCGTTAGCCCTGCGACAGACTGGTGACCTGTCCAGGGTGCACCAGGGTATGGTAGCTGGAATAGCAACCTATCCAAGGATAAGTGGAAGAAGATGGATGGATATGATGAAACTGGGATTTTGTTACACTTAATTATTTCCTTTTTTTTTTTAACAGTCTTGCCCCTGGTATGTGGCTCATATTGCAAACAAGACTGAAACTATAACTAATAAAAACTAAACTGAAACGAAGGATTTTCAAAAAATAAAAACTCAACTAAACTACCAAACAAATGGTTAAAACTAATTAAAACTGATATAGAATTGAAAATCTGAAGTCAAAACTAAATAAAAATAAAAACTAATGAAAATTGCAAAACTATTAAAACCTTGGTCCATAGTTCAGCGGAGACAGTGTCCTTTGCCCTACCAGGCTAAGTAAAGTCTACCAGCCAACAAGGTGGCCTTGCATGGAGTGGGAAGAAGAGTCTAAACACAGTCGTTATCATGGTGTTTTTGTTCGGCTCCAGCCTTCAGCCCACAGCTGGCGCCGAAGGGATAGCTGCATTATGCTGTTGATTTTTCTTTTATGCGAACAACTCATGAGAATTTCAAAGCTGTTCTTTAACACTCCGACACTCCGACAATAATTCAGAAATGTGTCATGATTTCACAAATATCTGTCCGTTATTTGAAAGATTGAACATTTAAATTCAAATGTTGTCACGATCTGGTTATAGGGACTCAAACGCAGAGCGGTTAGATGTCTCCAAAATGCAGTTATTTACAGTTCCAGTGCACAATATATATACAGTGAAGGGAATCCAAAACTCCAGGGAATCACAGGGTAGCTCTCTCACACTCGCTCATGTCCTCTTGCCCACACTCACACACGTTCACACGGCAGGGAGGTTGCAGGTCCGGGGGGGAAGGTCTGAAGCAGAAGAGAAGGGAAGTCACAAACTAATCACAAATCACGAAGCACAAATCCACAGGAGCTGTGAGAACACTAACGTCAGTAGTACAATCATCCAGCGACGAGAGGCTCTGTGTTCCAGCCTCAAATAGTGCTCTCGGTGATGACAGGTGATTGTTGTCAGGTGTGTGGGCCAAGGGCGGGAGCCCACAGTGAGCTCCGCCCAGGCAGAGAGGGAAAGAACCGAAACAGCAAATGTAGCCTTGTGGGGCCGTCCGGGCAGGCACGGACACCATGACAAATGTAATGCTATGGAAAAATATATAAAATGATTCGTATAAACTTTTTTTACATCACATAATAATTACTATTATTGTTATTTAGGGCGATCGTGGCTCAAGAGTTGGCAGTTCGCCTTGTAATCAGAAGGTTGCCGGTTCGAGCCCCGGCTCGGACACTTTGGGTCGTTGTGTCCTTGGGCAAGACACTTCACCTACTGGTGACGGCCAGAGGGGAATTATAAAGCGCTATATGAATGCAATCCATTATTAGTTAACTGTATGTTTCTGTACATTTAAGTATTATTATTCATATTGCTGCATTCATTGAGCTTGATTATAGGTAATTTCATTGTTTAATCACGTTAAAATGTTCCTAATTTAATGTTTAAAAGCACTTGAAAAAGGCAAAAGCCCATGTAAAAGTAGGGCAACAAACTGTATTGTCATTACTGAAAATAACCATATTTTTGTGAGAACGTTATTTTCCGGTATTATTTTGGCGCCCCAGCTGCTGGAATATTACTGTTTTTTTAGGATTTTTTTTTACGGTGTAGTCTTTCAGCGGCCACGTGACTTTATGATTTACTTTGATGTGCAGGTGGGTAAAATAGTCAACGAACCCAAACGACAGACGGCAAACCAACTCAACGCTGGACAAGCCAGATGGTCTCCTTTTTTTCACACAATTTAACTTCACTATCGCTTCCAGACATGCGTCCTGTAACCCACAAAGAGAGATGCCGTAACCCCCAACCGCCAGTATGTTCCCTCTAGTGTCCCTTCACAAGGTATCTACTCTGCACACACCAGCCATCCTGGGAACAATCGCAACATACCCTCCTTCAGTTTGTTTTGGTGGTAAATTTTAGTTCAGGATGTTAAGGATTATGTGTATGTCTGTACCACATGTGCTCTCCTTCTGCTGACCTACTCTCCACATCGACGCTCCACTTCAGCTCCTGCCTGACTCGTTGCTGGTAGAAGCCCTCCGCCCCTGTTCACACAGAAACCACCACAACACAGGTCAGCTGACACAGAGCAAACATCTGCAGCCACAGCTGCTCGAAAAGCTGAATGTTTTCTTTCAGGATGCTTCATGATCATATGGGATAATCAGAGTGAGTCCATCTCATCATGAGAAAAAGAAAGACCTCCTCAGAGGTTCAAACGCAGTCCGGCAGCACCGATGATGACATACCTGTGATGACCTCGGGTACACAGCAGAACCCAGTCCAGCCTCCATCACGCTGTCTCTGCGTCCTCCTAAGCAGTGTGTTACAGCCCCTCCCACCACCTTCGTGTAGTGTTGGCAGTCAAAGAAATCTAAATTTGGAAAAAATGATCAGGTAAAGACAGAGCTGCGGGTTTAAAAGCCGGCTGAGCGTTTCACCTGAATCTAGTCCCTCCACCGCAGCACCTGCTGCGCATGCTTAGTGGTGAGTGTCTTGGTGTCGAGCCACTTTTACACGGTGACAGTTTGAGGTTGCTCATGATATTGAAGACTTTGACTGGGCAGCAGTGCTGGTGCATCTTCACACAAAGGGGGGTTGTGCCAGGAGCGCCCCCTCACCGAGCTCCTGTCCCCAGCACCACGGCAAGCAGGACACCTTCTGCTCAAAAAACGGAATCGTTAAAATTGAAACAAGTTGAAAAAACATCACAGAGTAACTTTATTCTACTTTTTCCTGTAAGATTTAAACGGGAATCACGATTACATGTGACTTTAAAAAGCTTAGGACAACGATGCAGAAAGCCACACAATCCTGCAGAAAACTGTTTGTGAATATTGATATGTCAAAGACACAAGAAAACTCACACTAGCAACACCAACATCTGAATACAATGAGACTGTGTCTGTGGAACTGTGTGAACTTTAACCATGAGTGGTATCCCCACATTATTGACCAGTTTAGTGCAGGCAGAATCCTAAACTCACAGAAATCTTTTGAAATAGTCAAACACTTTGTTCATGACGCGATGCGTGCACGTGGCTCCTCTCAAACAACTTAGTGACAATGGGGGAGAGTTTAATGACAATGACGTGAGAGACATGGCAGAAAATTTCAACACAGAGGTAAAGACAACAGCTGCATACGGCCCATGGAGTAATGGACTGCTTGAGGAACGCAATCAAGAACTCCCAGAAATAAAAATGTCAAGGCAAGTAACTGCTGCCAGTGGAACACTGCAATGGACTGGGCTCTTATGGCAAAGAACACGTTTTTGGCTACAATACAACACTCCTTGCTGTGCCTTCTAGGCAGCAAGTCACACTTGTGCTTTAGATGCATCAAGAAAGTTTTTACAGAAGCAAAAAGTTCGCAGAGAATATGGAGAGCACTGCGGACACAGACTCGTCACACAGATGTGAAGTATGCAGCTCAAGACGAGGTGTATTACAAGCAAGTGGCCTGCCCTGAGTAGAAGAGACCAGGAATTGTTATTGGTCAAAATGGACCAGTAATAACACGGCCTGCACCTGAAAGAACACCTCTGAAATTAATTAGAGCAGAGACTACAAGCCAGGGCTTCTCATCCAACACTGGTGTCTGACCTTACCAGCTCAAACCTGTAGCTGCACAGGGTAGGATGACATCATATTAGACCCTATGGATAAAGAAAGAAACCAATGAGCTAAAATTCAAACCTCAGTGTGAAACTAGATAAATTACGTTATTCAAAGGAAGTGAAATACAGATGCAAATTAAACAAACTATATCACAGATTTATGAATGAACTGTTCATCACTGCCTTTGTTACCAGTTCAGGCTCTGGTGCTGGGTTGGGGTGTATTCACTCATCTTTAACATCACTCTGAGTCAGCGTCATGGCCAGGCCTCAGGAGTCTGGTTCCACTCCTGCCCCTGTTCACAACGACAGCACCAAAACACATGTCAGCTGACACGGAGCAAAAGTCTGCAGCCACAGAGGCACAAGAACTGAGTGTTTTCTGCCAGGACTCTTTATGTTAGCAGAGCTGCTCTGTGCAGCGTTATGGCATAATAATTTTAAGGGAGAATAAAAAGTCGACACACATATCTCATTCCTGACGGAGGACTCTACCACTACACTTCTCCAGTCCAGTCACAGAGTCGTTGCATGGCAAGACATGGCTAGGAAGTGGGCGGAGCCTTTTA